TTCAGTAACTAATGGCCTATTCCCAAAAGGAGAAATCTTAGGCCTTAATTTTAGGGTGAAAGCATTTTGGTCTTATTTCTAAGATGGCTCCTTTTGGTCTCACACACTAATCAGAATTCTTGGTGCAATCAAGCTGGTAGATTCTGTGTCTCTGGGAGCCGCAAAGGTTTGGGCAGAGGGAGTTGGTCTCATAAATTGCAGGGTCCTTTGGGAGATATTGGTAGGGAGATCTGCCCACTGGAGTCTTCACAAGTTGTCTGCAATGGTGGGGGTTGGCATGGGTCATGGGTTGTGCCCTGGGGCCTAGGACTTTCTAGGAGTCAGGACTTTCTGGCTAGGCAAAGAGCCAATCAGAGCTGGTGGATTCTGTGTCTTAGTGAGCCACTTAGGTCAAAGGGAGTGGTGTTGTAGATTGTAGGGTTTAATGAAGAGTGTTTGATGAGAGGCCTGCCCACAGGAGACTTCCCTACTGGCCTGCAACTTGGTGTGGGGAGGCATGACTTGTACCCCAAGGCATAGGTCCTAGAGACATGACTGTCTGGCTGGGATAAGACTCAGTCATTCATCTCTTGGTACCATCAGAACTTGTGGATTGAGTGTCTCAGGATGCCCCTGAGGTCACAGGGGGATGGGTAGGTTTGGGGGAGGGAGGGGGTCTTACAGATTGCAGGGTCCCTAGGGGGTATTGGTGGAGAGATCTGCCTGCCAGAGTCTTCCCTACTGGTCTACAACTGGGGCAAGTGTGGGTAGGGGTGGTAGGGCATGGGTTCTGCCTCAGGGCCTAAGTCCTAGAGACAGGACTCTGGCAGGGAGAAGATTCACTCAGCTCTTGGTCCAATCCGAGCTGGAGGATTCTGTTTTATATATTCTTCTCATCAAAATAAACTATAAAATACTGTCCTAAAATTTTGAGTTATAAATTTAATTTTTTGGGGGACCATCTACTTGTAGTGCAGCATAACTTTTCTACCTTCCAAATTAAAACTCTGTAGGAGGATGGAAATGTTCTTTTTAGATGATGGCTCAAATCATACAGTCACAATTAACTTTCTCTTTTCTCAGCTTGGTTACTTGATTTAAAATTACAGGGGTTCATTGTTTAATGGGTTAACTTCTGTTGGAAAATGCCCTCACAACTTTCTTAGTAATTAAACTTTGAATACTATGCCATAATATCTAGGTTCATTTTCGTCATGCCATTATTCTAGAATAAGTATAGATTATTTCTACCTACAATATTTTATCATTTATGCTTAGTGCCTATAGGTTTTGAAATATACTGTAGTTTCTCACTGATGCTTCAATATGTACGAGTAAATGTTTCCTTTGAAAAAGATAAGCATTGTACGTATGAAGAATATTTCCAAGCTTTGTTCATATCTCAACTTTTGCTCAACAGGAACAACATTCAATGACTATAATGTTTACAGCAAGGGTATTGACTGCAACTCATTACATATTCAACGCCAAAGAACTCATACAAGGGAAAAACCGTACCAGTGTAAAGAATGTGGTAAGGGCCTTAGTTCTTATAAAACACTTTCCATACACCAGAGACTTCATACTGGAGAAAAATCCTACACATGTAAGGAATGTCATAAGACCTTCAATACTCACTCATCACTTTTTATACACCAGAAAAATCATACTGATGAAAAAACACATAAGTGTGAAGAATGTGGCAAATTGTTTTACTATCCTTCACTGCTGAAGCAACATCAAAGAATTCATTCTGGAGAGAAACCCTACAAGTGTGAAGAATGTGGCAAAGCTTTTTATGAACCTAAATTGCTGAATCAACATCAAAGAATTCATTCTGGAGAGAAACCCTATAAGTGTAAAGAATGTGGCAAAGCTTTTTATGTACCTAAATTCCTGAATCAACATCAAAGAATTCATTCTGGAGAGAAACCCTATAAGTGTGAAGAATGTGGCAAAGCTTTTTGTTATCCTTCATTCCTGAAGCATCATCAAAACACTCATTCTGGAAAGAAACCCTACAAGTGTGAAGAATGTGGCAAATCCTTTTACACTCCTTCACTGCTGAAGCATCATCAAAAAATTCACTCTGGAGAGAAACCATGCAAGTGTGAAGAGTGTGGCAGTTTTTTTTCTTCATTTTCCTACCTTAGACAACATCAAACAGTTCACTCCAAAGACAATCCCTACAAGTGTGAGGAGTGTGGCAAAAGGTTTTCCCATTCTGCAATCCTTCAGAAACATAGTAAAATTCATGGAGAGAGACGATACAAGTGTGAAGAATGTCACAAAACCTTTGTTTATCACTCAGATCTTAAGAGACACAAGGTAGTTCATACTAGACAGAAACTCTACAAGTGTGAAGAATGTGGCAAATGTTTTTCCGCTGGTTCATGCCTTAAGCGACATCAAATAATTCACTGTGAAGACAACCCTTACAAGTGTGAAGAGTGTGGCAAATGTTTTTACTCCAATTTATCCCTTAGAGGACATCAAATAATCCATTCTGAAGACAATCCTTATACCTGTGCACATTGTGGCAAACGATATTCCTCTTCTAGGGATCTTCAGGAACATCAAACACTTCATACTGGAGAGAAATTGAACAAGTGTGAAGAATGTGGTAAAGCCTTTCATTTTCACTCATCTCTTAGGAGACACAAGGCAATTCATGTTGCAGAGAAACCCTACAAGTGTGAAGAATGTCACAAAGCCTTTCCTTATCTCTCATCCCTTAGGAGACACAAGAGAGTTCATAGTGAAAAGAAATCCTACAAGTGTGAAGAATGTCACAAAGCCTTTAATTATCTCTCATCCCTTAGTAAACACAAGACAGTTCATACTGGAGAGAAACCCTACAAGTGTGACAAATGTCAGAAAGCCTTTCTTTATCCTTTATCCCTTAGGAAACACAAGACAGTTCATACTGGAGAGAGTCCCTAAAACTGTGAGGAGTGTGACAGATGGTTCTCTTCACCTTCATCCCTTCGACAACATACAAAAGAAAAGGAAGTTCATTCTGAAGACAATCCCTAAAATTGTGGGGAATGTGACAAAAACTTTGTTAATCTTTATGTCCTTACTCAATACATGGTATAGTTCATAGGGGAGAGAAATCCTACAAATGTCTTAAAATGTTTATTTTTTCAACCCTTAAAATGCATCACATGATTCATTCTGACTACAAACTCCATGAGTGTGTGAAGTGTGGTAAAATGATTGCTAACAATTCAGGTCTAACCCACCTCTAATGAACTCTAGTAGAGAATAATAGGCTAATTATTTTGGATTGTAAAGAGGAACCTCTAACTTCCAATAGCAAAATGCTAAGTATGTCATCAGAGAACAGTAGAGACTTCTCTTTGCTGTAACATCCAACAATTTGTTGAAGCTGTGCTGTGGGATGATCTGTATGGCAAATTGCTCTGATTGGTCAATAAATAAAACACTGATTGGCCAGTGGCCAGGCAGGAAGTAGGTGGGACAAGGAGAGAGG